AATATGTATTAGTGCTTCTTTTATCATTTTACAAAATATCATTGCATATTTCTACATATTTCATAATATTTCTACAATGTCTCTAATTTTTACAATATTTCCCCTCGACATTTCCGACATATGTCCTATATTTTGGTAAGCGACATTTCCATCGACATCGACATTTTAAACCTTGATCAGCCCTGTAATGGTCTCTTACACTTAACCACTCGGCCCATTATGATGAAAACACTGGCTGACAATGAAGGACCTGTCCCCTGGTTGCAAGGTGTAGTGTCACACTCTCTACTTGGATGAATCCCAGGATTAAAACCCTTTGCAAACCTTTTTCATAAAATAGTAATATGTAACATATAAATATATTTTGCAAATTCAGATTTCAAACATAGGTGAAATCCACTGCTGGCAGGTTAGGTTTCCATCAGAGAGAGTGTAAACCCTGATATTCACTTTGTTCGACAAAGGGACCAATCCTACCACTATGATCACCCACTCAGGTGAATTCTTAGATTGCCCCAACATACCTAGGTATTTGACCCTTGATGGATCTTACTAGTTGGTATATCAAAGACAGCCCAGTCCAACACCTAGTGCGGTACCATAATCAAGTCTGGGGTTATGTGCAACTTTGTAGTTTTGCTCATCATATCTCAAGATCCAGGGCATAACTAAAAATTGGTCCGGATTCAATGCTTCTGATAAACACTCACTGGATGTGCTTGGGGTCTAACCCTAGCAGCTGAGATGAGATATTCCAACTCCTTGGCAGCACACCAGTGTCAACCTTGTCAGGATAAACTTCCCAAGTCTATCCAAGGGTTGAGAACGTTCTAAACTAACACGAGTCTCTTAAGTGTCCAGTTTAAGGGGTAAGGGCATGCATTGTCTAACATTAATATCCTACCTCTTTGTTTCAGATATTTGGATTTGGTTTTTCTCTTTGTTTGATTGTAGGTGGACCCCCAACTATATGTACAAAGCTTGCGTGCCTCTTCTTCCCTCTAGTGGCCAAAGAAGAGGGGTAGAATTCTTTGGAGATATGTGTTAGGGCTGCTATCTGCTGGACAATTTGGGAAGAAAGGAACTTAAGGATCTTTTCTAAGTTTCTAACAAGGAAAGGAGTAAGGAGGCCATTATTGAGGTAGTTGCTGATTCAGCCCCTCAGTTTGAGGGGGAGTGTAGAGATAGCGAGGGTTAAGGTTGTAATTTTACTTGTTCTTGTTGTACCCATTATTTTGTTCTTTTGTTGTGTACTTTTACTTTAGCAGAAATCTGCAGAAGAATAAAAAATTGTAGAAAAAAGAGAAAGAGATGAAGTGTTTTGTGAGAGAAGAAAAGAAGAAGAGAAAGAATAAAGGAAGAGAAGGCAATTAATTCTGACTGCCCTCTTCCATTAGTGTTTATACTTAAAAGTAAAAAATATATACAAGGAAAGATATGCTCTTAATAGGGCGGTTGACGCTAACAACTTACAAGAAACAAAAAAGCCCACTACTCTAACAACTTCTGAATAATGGGTTGTGGTCCCAACTAACTAACTAAACAAATAATAAATAAAACAAGCTAATAACTGTAAAATCCTCAACAACTTCTTGAACATAAGGATATAATTGTCTTTTTATTTCTTTTTAATATAAATACCTTTTCTCTTGGTGTGGTGATACTTAGATACACCACAAAATCTGTTTGCCTTCTTTTGTTTGAACTGCACTGACATGTAGTTATTAAAAGCAGAAGAAAAAGAAGTCCCAGAGAGATCACAGGCCTCTATGGTTCTGTTCTGCTCTAATTCAGGAGAGGAGAAAGGTGAGCAAGATTCTGTTATACAGATGTCTCTAAGGGATCACATCATCACAGGCTTCAGACCTGCTATCATATTGTATTCTGAGAGTTACTGATGTGAGTAGAGAAATCAAATGATGTGAGTGGTCCAGTCCTCTCACCAGTCTCTGATTTATATCCTTCTTAAGCATCATAGATCGAGTGTTCTGTTCTTAATAATTGTTAGAAAGAACTTTAAACATAATGTCATATCTGGAGTGACACAAATACCCCTATACCTCATGCCTATTAACTCTTAAAAGAGGATAATACCTCTTGTTTTTTGTTAGTTGAGTGTAAAATTTCTTGCTTGCAATTGTTCTTCTGTGCTGTCTATAAATGAAAATAGGAACATGAAAGTTGATTGGTATTCTCTGTACATACTGTTTTGATGGCTGTTTTCTCACTTTGTGTGCAAAAAGGCAAATCAATGGTGTTCTTTCTTTCTTTTATTTTTCCATCTTTTTCCCTTGTCTTTTGTCTTTCCTCTGTTATTGCTCTTTTGCGATCTTACTTTTATTTATCTGATGACATGTTGCCATCCATTTTTCTACAGATTTCTGAGGCATTGCTTCAATGTACTATTAAATGCCTTGTAGATGTGGTTAATTCTGAGACTGCAACATTGGCTTCCATTGCAATGCAAGCACTAGGTCACATTGGATTATGTTGTCCATTGCCTCCACTTGTTCTTGATTCTGGTGCAGGTAATTTATAAAATGTAAGCTGAAAACTATGAGTTCAAGAGATGGCCAAAGAGTCTTATTAAGACTAACATTTGTAACTGCAGCTGGAGTTTTGACTGTTTTGCATGATAAGTTGGCCAAGCTACTATCTGGCGATGATATCAAAGTGATCCAGAAAATTGTTCTCTCTTTAGGGCATATCTGTGTAAAGGAAACATCGATTTCTCTGATAAATATTGCCCTTGATTTGATTTTCAGTCTTTGCCGGTCAAAGGTGGGTAGCTGAATTTTGTTTCCTCCATTCAGTGCTCTTTTTGTTTTTTGGTATATTCCTGCTTGGTATTTATCTTGGTGAATCATTATTAGTTCATTATTCACTTGGTAGTTTGTTATGTGAATGCATATGTTACAGGTTGAAGACGTACTCTTTGCAGCTGGGGAGGCTCTTTCATTTATGTGGGGAGGGGTGTCTGTGACTTCTGATGTGATTCTCAAATCCAATTATTCATCACTTTCCCTCACTTCTAACTTTCTTAAAGGCGATGTGTCTTTTCCTATGTCAAGACACCTCCCTACTGAAGGAAGTGAGGCCAATGAGGATAGCCATGTTATGGCCAGAGATGTTATAACTAGAAAGCTTTTTGATGTTCTTTTATACAGTAATAGAAAAGAGGAGCGCCGTGCTGGAACTGTGTGGCTACTATCCCTGACAATGTATTGTGGGCATCATCCAAAAATTCAACAATTGCTTCCTGAAATTCAGGTACTCCATTGGTTTTGGTCTATGCAAACAACTTTTTTCTTTCAATTCCTCTGTTTGGATGCCAATTTCGTGATCTCCCACCTTTTCGGTGGGTAGACCAGTTTAGTCAGGATATACCTAACCTTTGTGTCAATGCAACATATACAAGCATATGAATTTTGATCCTTTTGTATTTCCTCCACTAAGTTGGGGAGTGCTATGGAATTTAGTAACGAGGTTGTGTTGTGGTCCTTGACAATGTCAAAGTTTTAGTTATTCTGACAAAATATATACTGATTTATTAGTAGTCAAATTAATAACCCATGAATCGTAAGAACCATTATTATTTTATTGTGTATCATACTGTTCATACATATAAATTATAGGCATGACATTGGTTATAAATATTTCACATGATCTGCAGGAGGCATTTTCCCACCTTCTCGGTGAACAGGATAACCTTACACAGGAGTTAGCATCTCAGGGAATGAGTATTGTCTATGAACTTGGTGATGCATCAATGAAGAAAGATCTAGTAAATGCACTTGTTGGTACTCTTACTGGCTCAGGAAAAAGAAAACGAGTTGTAAAGGTGGGAAAGCTGATTTTTTTTTTTCATGTTATATGTATGTATGTATGTTTCTTTTATTATTTTTTTTTCAGGGTTTTCTTGTTCTAAGGAACAGTTTTTGTTTTACAGCTGATGGAAGATTCTGAAGTGTTTCAAGAGGGGTCTATTGGTGAAAGCCCAAGTGGAGGAAAACTTAGTACTTACAAGGAACTCTGCAATCTGGCAAATGAGATGGGACAACCAGACTTAATTTATAAGTTTATGAATCTGGCTAATTATCAGGCTTCTATAAATTCCAAAAGAGGTGCCGCTTTTGGGTTTTCGAAAATTGCAAAACAAGCTGGGGATGCACTTCAGCCACACTTACGTTTATTGATTCCCAGGCTTGTTCGTTACCAGTATGATCCTGATAAGAATGTGCAGGTATGGTATTTTTGGATTGAGGGAAAAACAAATTATGATCTTCAGTTAATAAATTTGGAAAGTTGGTTTTTAATTTTCATCACATCCAGATTTGTTAACCAGTTTAGAGATTTCTATTTTGAGCAATACTAGTAGTTTCATATTTTTCAATGTTTTCAAATTATATTAGCATTAGCTATAATATTCCAGTGTATCCTGTGCTTATTCTGTTCATTCTGTCTATACTTGTAGGATGCAATGTCACATATCTGGAAGTCACTTGTAGCAGATTCCAAGAAGACTATTGATGAACACTTAGACCTTATAATTGATGATTTGTTGACTCAATGTGGGTCCCGGCTTTGGCGTTCTCGTGAAGCTTCCTGTCTTGCCCTTGCAGATATAATCCAAGGGCGCAAATTTGAGCAGGTGATTATCCCAGATTTTTAAGTGATTTTTAATTGTAATATGCAAACTGATGACCAATGTTGTCATTAGCATGCATGCATAATACCCACTAGATATCATTTATGATTTAACAATTAAAATCCCTTAGAACGGCACCTTTTGATCACTGTATCCTTGCCTGTGTATCTAGTTGTTTAAACTTTGTTTAATTTGAGTTGAAGAGAGATGCTAATGCAACCAGAAATTGCAAAATACAGCATAATAGTAGATGAAAAGTACCTACCAGCAATTCATTGAGAATATAGTGCAAGAGCATTGAATTAATTCACTCTATTTTACAATTCCCCCTCAAGTTGGGCAATAGATGTCAATCATTCCCAACTTGTTACATATTTCATCATGCTGCAGAGTACTCAATCCCTTTGTGAAAACATCAGCTAATTTATCTTTAGAGTTTACATAGGGAGTGCGCACCTCTCCCTTCTCAAGTATTTCCCAGTAAAGTGCCATCAACTTCAAGAATACATATATCTCCCTACAATTGCACTGAAGTCTCAAATAAACTTCCAGAAATACCTTTGGATGTTTCACAATCCATATTAAGAGTATTAACTATATTGTTTTTATGTTCCTAGTACCCTTACAAAACTTACAAAGGGAAACAGAAATTTCGACACTTCTCAACCAAGACTTTACTATAACACAGACATAGTTTAACAAAATTTTGTGAGACTTGGACCATAAATACTATGCTTTTGGGCAACTCAAGATGAGAAGCCCACATCTGTTTAATTATAAAAAAATGGTCAAATTTTGATTTTGATTACTGTCGACAGTCCACAGATTTCAGTTGGCTTGATGAACACCTTCTGATCTTATCTTCCTAAAAATTTCAGGGCTATCACTCCATATAAACTTAACATTTCAAAAATTCGATTCGATCAAATGGCTGGACTGATAGAAATTAAGTTCACAATTTCTGCCAAGCTAGGACTGTTATGCAGAACTGTTTTTTTTCCTTTATTGCTCTTCAATTTATTTTTCTAAGGTTTTGTTAATGCTTTCTGAAATCAATCTGCATCAGACCCAAAGCTTGTACTCCACTCAAACTCATTAAAACCTTATTCCAACTATATGTGGTTATCTATGTGAACCCAGTAACATCCAAAGCTAATATTGAAGTGAAAAATCTAGTGCTTTAGTTTCATGATGTATTAGGTACAGCCTTATAGATGTTAGAGGCACACACACATGTATGTATTTTCTTTTTCTGAAATTACTGTTCCATTTCTTTCACAATATATTATTTATTGCCAATCTCAAGCATCTTAATTCTATTATTGTTTTCTAGGTTTCAAAACATTTGAAACGAATATGGACAGTTGCATTTCGTGCCATGGATGACATAAAAGAAACTGTACGGGTTTCTGGTGATAGCTTGTGCCGTGCCATGAGCTCACTAACTATAAGGCTATGTGATGTTTCTCTCACCGCAGTATCAGATGCAAAGCAGACAATGGATATTGTTTTGCCTATCTTGCTGACTGAAGGGATAATGAGTAAAGTTTCCAACATCCAAAGGGCATCTGTTGGAATGGTTATGAAGCTTTCTAAGGTTGGCATTGTTTTGCAATGTAATATTGCTAATTATGATAAAGAAAAATTGGGTGGTTTCTGCATCAATTTTTAGGTTGTGGAAGTGGGCTTGCACTAATTGGATATGGTTATTTCTATTAGCATTGAGTTATTTCTGTTATCAACTTAGCATTTAGCTTGGAGTCTATTATTGTTTGGTCAAAGTTCTAGTGTAGATTGGAAAATATAACTTGTCCCATTTAGCCAAGTCCTTTATGTTTTATTCTTTCATATTTGTTATCTTTGTATCTCTCTTGAATTCTTTCCTGCTGTTCTTTGTGTCTATACTCATGAGCTTCTTCTGCATGCCAATGGGCATTTGGATTAGTCGATTAGAGTTCCTTTACCCTCTTAAGTGTTCAATTTTACACGCTATTTCTAGAACCTTGGCTTGCAATCATCTTTATTCTCTTTTCTAGTGTTTTAAAAGGCGCGGAAGGTGTACACCTGGAGGAGTGCCTCCAGGTGAGGTGCCCCCAAAACTACTCGAGGTGTACACCTTATATGCCTTTTTCATGAGGCATGCTAGAGGTGTATGCCTCATGCGCTCATGCACACCTCGTACAATAAGATGAAAAAAGAAAAAAAAGAAAGAAACAAGAAAAGAAGGGAAAAGAAAGGAAAGGGAAAGAAAAAGAAAGAAAGAGAAAGAGAAGAAAAAAAGAGAAAAGAAATTATAGGGAAAGGAAGATAAGGAGAAGGAGAAAGAAAGTTTGGACCAGGGGCAGAGCCCCCAGACACCCTCCCCTCCTTTCAGCTAGTATTGTGCATCTTCACTCTTCTTAATATAAAAGATTTTTATTAAAAATAAAGAGAAGAGATCCTCCTTCCTCTTCTTCCTCACCCCCTCCTCCTTTTTCTTCCCCCCCATCTCCATCCTCTTTACGAGGCTTATGCCTCTTACATTCTGAAGTATGCCTCACACCTCCAGGTTGTGGAATGCCTCGTGTCATGCCTCCATGTTTAACATTGTTCTTTTCCTAAACAAGCTTAACAGTGGGCTTGTTTTTGTCATGCTCTGGCTCTTTTATGTGGGTAGTCTTTCTGAATTTCTTTAAGGGAATGTTATGTTCCTTTAGTCTATATAATACACTGATATTGTGTGGCTTATCTCCAGGGTGCTGGGATTGCAATTCGTCCTCATTTGCCTGATCTTGTTTGTTGCATGCTAGAAAGTTTGTCAAGCCTTGAAGACCAGAAGCTGAACTATGTTGAGGTTAGGAAGTTATGATGCACCATTTTCAGTTTAAAACTTAGTTTCCTCTCTCTGGAGATGATTATATGTTTGAAGGGCTTTATATTTACTTTAAAGACATCAAATATTGTGAATCTACTTTTTGCACCTTCAAGCAAGGGGCAAGAAGGGAACAATTGTTTTGGGCTCAGCTGTAACTTGTTAATTACTTTGCTTGTAATGTAATCTATTTGGGGGAGGCTGCAGCTCGCGCTTCTCTAAGGGATGCCTGTATCAGTTTTGAATATCTTATTTAATAAAATTCTTCATTACTAATAAAAAAAATCTACTTTTGGATCTTTTCAATGTACATGTATTTACTCTTTCTTTGTGAAACTAGATGCATGCAGCAAGCGTTGGAATCCAGACAGAGAAGCTAGAAAATCTGCGAATTTCAGTTGCAAAAGGCTCCCCAATGTGGGAGACACTTGACATGTGTCTTAAGGTTGTTGATGTGCCATCATTGGATCTGTTGGTACCCCGCCTTGCTCAACTGGTTCGATCTGGAGTTGGTCTGAACACTAGGTTTGTTGACATGCAAAATTGATATAGATTTTTTATGATCATGAATTGATGCAAGACTTTGTCATAATTTTTTACTTGAAAAATAAAATTGATTTTTGCTATTTCTGAATGCATCATCATCGATATCTAATTTTATTTATTAATGCCGATAATTTTGATTTGGTTGAACCAGTGCAGTTACTGGAATATGACTGTTGTATATGAATTTATTTTTGGAATATGATGATGTAAAGATCCTTCATGGCCAGATGGGTTTAACCTTTCTTTTCACAAAAGCTGTTGGAATATTTAAAAGGCAATGTAATGGAAATGAAGGAATTTTGGCAAGAAAAGTTGATTGAAAAGAGTGCAAATACAGCATTTATTTCTCTCATTGCCGAAGTTGAGGGAGCTTGCAAAGTGAAAGATTTCAGACCAACTAATTTGATTTCAAGCCAATACAAGATTGTTGCAAAGATTCTATCTAGAATATTAATATCAGTGTTGGAAGAGATTGTGGGCCCTACTCTCAAATGGCTTTTGTTGAAGGTAGACATATTTTTAATGGCGTGGTGAGAGCAAGTGAGGATATAAGAATAAAAAGTGGCAAAAGGGCTGATGTGTAAGCTAGACATTGAAAAGGCATATGATCTTGTAGAATGGGGCTTTCTTGAATAAGTTATGAATTTATGACTAGAATGGATTTTGAGGAAAAATGGAGGAGCTGGATATTTGCCTGTGTTTCCTCAGTATTGTTTTCAGTGCTTGTAAATGGAATTTCAACACAATGTTTTTTCAAGCCTCAAGGGTTATAAAGGCAAGGAGATCCTCTTTCTCCTTTGTTGTTTGTCTTGGTGGCAGAAGTTTTGAGTCGATTATTGATCAAAAGTACAGAATTGGGGATGTTTGAGGGTTTTAAAACAGAAAGAGGAGTTTCCATCACACACCTCCAATTTGCAAATGATACCTTAATCTTCCTGGAAGCCTCAATAGAACAAGTTTTGAAATTAAGGATTATTTTGAAAAGTGCGTCGATTGGAGTGGGCATTATTTCACAGGACCTCTTAGAAGAATGTGCAGCAGCCTCGGGATTCTTGGTTGGGGAGTTCCCATTCACATATTTGGGACTTCCGATTGGTGCAAAAGCCTTTATTTCATTAATTGGCAGTTGGTGCTGGATACAATAGATCAAGGATTGTTAGGCTAGAAGGGGGAATATCTTTCATTAGGAGGGAAGATAACACTGATTAAAAGTGTTTTATCTGATTTAGTGGTGTATTACTTATCTCTGCTAAAAGTTCCTTCCTTGGGGGCAAATTTAATCGAAAATATGCAGAGAGAGTTTTTGTGGGGAATCAAAGGGATTGAAAAGAAATGAGACTGGGTTTGTAGGGATAAAAAGGAAGGGATCTTGGATCTATAAGGGTGAAGTTATTTAGTACAGCACTTCTTGGAAAATGGTTATGGAATTTTGGGATCGAGAGGGAGGCTTTGTGAGAAGGGTGGTGGCTTACAAATTTGGGGTGATCAGGTTTGGTGGGATTCTAAGTAGGCATGCCGGTTGGGTCTAGGTAGAACCATTCCTGAACCAATTACTTACCGGGACAAAATCACAGACCCAAAACCATCCTGGTTATAGCTGAGTGACCCAATAGACCTGATTATACTAAAACTATATTTGTTTATTTAAATAATAACTTAAAATTTAAATTTTGATAATATAACCTTAATAAAAATACTAAATTATTCATATGTTAATAAATTAAACATTTTTGACTAATATTATTTTATTTATTATCTATCAAAATTTACCATTTCAAACATAAAATATAATAAAAATTATAAGAAAATTAAGAAATATTATATATTTAATAAAATAATTGGTTCCGGGTCCGAGATGGTTCAGGACAAGCAAGAACTGGAACCGACCCATTTATTAATCGGGTTAAAATCCTAGAACCAGAACCGTTATAATCGGTTCAGTCAGTTCAGGTCCGTCAGGTAGACCCGACCCATTGGCAGCCTTAATTCCAAGGAAGTGAAATCATCCTATGGAGTATGTGTTTGGAAGGGTATAATGTGTTTCTAATTAGCTTTTCTTAATTATGTATCCTTCAGAGTAGGGTGGTTGTTGTTTGGTGCCCAAACTTCAAAAGGCCCCTCTTTGATTGGTAATTTGAGGAATGTGTGGAATTGCGTCTAAAATTTCAATTATTTGAGGTGCAAGTGGAAAAGAAAGATTCAAGATGGTGGAAAGAATCCAGTAATGGTATTTTCTCTGTCAAACTGTAAGGCTCTACAAAGAAACCAAGTGGAAATATCTGAATTTAAAGGTGGGGAAACCCTTTACCACCAAGGGTGGAAGCTTTTGTCTGGTTTGTGGCGTTGGGAAGTATCCTGACACTGGACCATATTCAGAGTAGAGGTATTCACTTGGCCGGGAGATGCTATTTATGTGAGGTTGCAGAGAATGTCCTTCATTTGCTTGTTGGGTGTCCCTTCACGAAATTCATATGGGGCTTCTCCTTTAGCTTATTTAGAGCTAGTTGGATGGAACCAAGAACTCCAGGAAACATTTTTGTTAGGTGGCCAACTATGATAGGAAACAACAAGACAAAGGTAGTTTGAAGTTGCATCCCTTTTGTTATATGCTGGGAAGTATGAAAGGAAAGAAATAGAAGAATTTTTAGAACAAGGCTCACAAAAGAGAGCAAATCACTCTCTCATATGTGGAAAGAGGATAATGGATCGGGTGCTCATACTTCCAGAGTTTGAAGGGGTTTCAAGGGAAGATCTTGGTACTCGATTTTAGTCTTTTCTTGAATTGGATTCAAACTTATAATACTCTTTCATTATTGTTTTTCTTTCTCCTTTATATAAGATCATGAGTTTGTAGCTTTCTCTTGTGGTGATTTCTCATCACCCTAGCTGCTGTACCTTTTTCTATTAATAATTTTTTCTTTTTAATTTACTACCAGAAAAAATTTATCCTCCGTGGCCAGGTTTTTAGTTGTGTTACCTATTTTGGCCTCATGGTGGGGTCCTGATCAACACCATTGATCAGATAGGGAACCTACCGGACTGGGCACATGCTCAATTCCATAGTCCACATGGCCATATACCCTACCTAATATCGTTTTCCTAATTAATGTTAGTTATTTAATGTTTTCGTTTCTTAATATAGTACTTAGCTATAGAAAATCTTGCTTTGTAGAGCTTTGAAAAGTCTTTTGTGTTGATAGCTTCTCCATGAGTATAGGGTCGTCAAAAGAATTGGGGGAATCCTTTTGAAAACCAAACTAATTTGCCACATGGAATATTTATAGGTCGTTTAAGGAAGCTCACTAAACAACCTGACTAGCAAACTTGATCCCTTGTATATTAATTGCTAAGAAAAAAATCTCAAGGATCAAAAGAAATATGTAGTATAGTTGGTCCTGAAAATAGGGATGCTAAAAACCACAGTAATGTAAGAACAAAACAGAGCACTAGGCATGAAAATCAAGTATTTGGGTCTCAGATTTGAGTAACGTTTCATCATGGTCAAAATGAAAAATTCAAAGTTTCAGCAGAGTTTTGTGGTGGGTCTGAAATTTCAGAAAATTGAGTATATTTGAAATTAATATTTTAGATATCACAATTTTTTTAACTAATTTTATCCTATCAAATTCATTTTATACCTTTTAACAATATTTTACCTAACCATCTAATATATCTAATATTTTCTCTCTATTATGGGAATTAGAGATTTGTATGTTTTTCCACAAGTTTAGTTGTGCTCATTCTTGAAATTGGAATAAAAAATCACCTTGATGATAGGCCCACTTTTCCCTACTAAACAATCAAATTAATAGATTTGTTTCCATGAAAAATGAAAAACGTAGCAATACTTCCTCTTAGTGCAATCTTCTCTAGGCCTTGGAGAAGTCTTTGGGGGATGCATCCATGATTTTAGAAAATGTGGAATGAATAGGTTTGGAACTTTAACTTCTTTCCTGAATTTGGCATTAAAACCTAACTTCTTCCAAATAGTTGAGAAAGCCTTAATGCACATAGTCATTGTGTTTTCTAGATCCAATTTGTAATCAAAGCATTTCCTTCTCATATGTTGCTTCATTAGCTACTAGGATTTGATCTAAGATGTGTTTTCCACTTAAAAAGTTGAGACCACTGGTTTCTTGAAGACCCATCAATGCCTGAATTGCCTGAATTACCAATATAACACACATTGAAGTTCAACATTTTATGATCAGAAGGTGAGAACAGCCAATTAGAAACTTCTCTATCCCTTCTAGTTAAAGTTGAGACCACTTCAAACAATCCTGTAATGATTGTATCCATAGAGACATTGAAAGATCACCCACATCCTGATCCAATTAAAGAAAATTCTTACAATTTGCCCTTTGAAATAAGAGGTTTTAAAATAAGAGGACTAAAACAGAATATATGCAATGTAAATTTAATAATAATGGGAATGCAAATCAGGGTATACTTAGGATTAAAGGTCAGGAGATAACTTGATGTAACCTCTTCTGTTACCTTGGTTTAATAATTCATAACAAGGGAGAGACTGAAGAGGATGTCACCCATAGAGTTAGAGAAGGTTGGTTATAATAGAGGGGTGCGTCCGGAGTCTTATGCGATAGGTAAATATCACTTAGGCTAAAAGGACAATTCTATAAAATAGTTGTAAGGCCAGCGATGTTGTGGGAGCAGAGTCTTGGGCAGTCAAGAAACAGCATGTCCAAAAAATGAGTGTGGCAGCAATATGAATGCTGAGATGGAGTGGAAAAGTAGAAATGACAGCTTCAGAAATGAAGTCATTCAAATGGAGATGAATATAGGAGTTTTTGAAGACCAACACAAATCTCACAACTGTTGTGTCTCAATCATAGGAAAAAGAATTCTGGACTGGGTTATGATTCTTCTGGAGTTTATGGATGATTGTAAAGACTCTTTTGGTTCTGGTTTTTCAAGTGTTATAATTCAGTTTGGAGGTTGAAAATTGATGTACTTCTTTG